TATGCTATTTTACTGTATGTGTGTACCATGTTGGAAATTTCTCTTCACTTATGCCAGAACCACAACAGAAAGTTAAAGGAAATCTCCCTCCTAATTGTCAGCGGAACAGGATTTCCCATTGGATGATTTCCTCTCCCCTCTTTTTCTGGAGACAACTCTAACATTTTGGATTTGTCTACTCTTTCCTAGTGTCAGTGGTTTACCTGTATAAGTAGAGAATCTTCACAGAGATTCACAGAGAGCAGTAGTGAAAAATGAATGAACGTTTGATGAGGGAGTACAGCCTAGGTTATACATTTTCAGAAAAGAAACCGTAATACCTTCATAGTTGAGGTAGATTCTCTTTAAACATGCAGTAGATAGGAAATCTATGTTGTAAGTTACAATAGGTTCTCATAGCTCATACAAAGCTGCGCTGTTCTCCTCCAGGCTAAAATCAACTTTATAGTACACGTTCCAGCATGAACACAACATGTCAACCCACCCCTTCCTCTGATATGTTGCATGCCCTAATGGAGCTTAATTATGGAGCAATAAAGTTGGTTTTAGCCTGAAGGAGAACAGAGTGCAGCCTTGTATGAGCAATGGGAGCCTGGAGGAGGGTGATAGATCCCAGAAGGATTAGTACTTGTGACTGGATGAAGGGGCTAAAGGGTCTGGAGCGGTGTACAAACTATCAGTGAATACATTACAATAGGTGTCTTATTAGGACCTAGGTAAATGAGGACTGTAGATTTTAAGGTGTTAATAAATGAGTTTGTTATTTATCTTTCAGGCTGTAATTGGATTTTAAATCCTGTTTCTGCTTGAGAACAGAGCAAGCGTTAAAACAAAATGGAACTTGAGAGTAAATAAAATGCAACATAAGAATAGAGTAAATATTACTCATGTGAGACATTTGTTACAGACTTTTGTTGTTTGTTTCAGGTTGGTGAAGCTGGCGTGCAACTGTCAGTGGAGCTGTGTGGATGTGCACTACAACTGGATCTTCATGATGATCCTGAAACAAAATCTTTAATTTATAAAACTATAGCTTACCTTTTCCCCACTGACTTGGAGATATGCAGAATATGTGCACTGTCGGTTTTCTTTTTGGAGCGCACCATAGAATGCTACAGGGACGTGGAACGTTTGTACAAATACTCTGATGAGGAGTATAATGAGTTTAACAGCTACGTGGAGAACAGAGTACGCTTTGAGTTGCTTCCCATCTTAAAAAGAGGTTTATTATTTGATCCAGAATTCTGGAACTATCAGATGATCCAGCAAAACTGTGCAGAGCTGCTTGGGGAAAAGTCTACCTTGATTGTATGTACAGCAGAACAGTCAGGCAACATGGTGGAACCAAATTTGCCCCAGGATGACTCTGTGATGCGGTTACGTAATGGAGTATTGAAGCACAAAGAAGCCAACAGCAAACTGAGACTTCCTTTGCATTCTAGAAAGAATCATACTTTGCCCAGTCCTAATAAAATAGAACATTTTGTTCCTAAGCATCCCTGCACTTTGTGCAACAAAGAATTTTTGGGAGGTCACATATTTCGACATGCACAGACCCACCATGAAGGAGGCTGCTTTACGTGTATTATATGTGCCCGAAAGTTCAGGAATAAAATAAAAATGATGAGACATTTGAAACATCATCTAAAGAAAATGCAAAGGCATTCAATGATGAGATCTTCCGATTCCTCCTCAGACAATGCTGTCCAGGGTTGTTCGGATATCAGTGAAGTTAACTCATCAGAAGAGTCATCGGTGGCTTTGGAAAATGGAAACTCTAGTAGTTCTGCTAGTGAAGGTTTAAATGCTCTTCCCAGTGAAGAGGCTGCAATAGAATGCATGACACTAGGTGAAAACCACCTAATTGACCATAACATAGAACTTTTACATCATTCAACAGCTACCCAGACATCTTTCTCCACAGATGTTAGTAATGCAGATGATATAGTTGCTGCACCAGGTGAAATTCAAGGAGGGGAGGAAAAGTCTGACAAGAACTTGACTGAATGCATTAAGCTAAATGGGTCTTCTTTTGGTAAAGAAGACCCTGATGTCAGCCACAGGGTCAACTACCCATGCCCTGCTCAGGGATGTTGCCGTGTATTCCAGCGCGTAAGGGCTTTGAATAAGCACGCACGGAAAGCCCACCCATCTGACGTAAAGGTACAGCAACACATAATGATGTGGAATAAGGGCAAGTGCCGGTTCTGCCAGAGAAAGTTTACCAACGGTAGGCATTTCATTGACCATTTAAAGAGACACACTTACCCAAATGTCTACTTTTGCCAGCAGCAAAACTGCAATAAAAACTTCAAGTTTGCAACTCAGCTGGCTGAGCACCAGTTAAGCCATGAATCTCTAATAGTCCAGTGCTGCTTCATAAACTGCACGGAAGTTTTCGAACAAATCTCTTCCCTTTACGAGCATGAAGCTCTGCACTATGAACAAAATGCCGGAGAGGTTGGTACTTCGTTAGCAAGCGAGGAGCCAGTAGATCACGTTACTGTGCACAGCAGTCCACAAGCGGAAACTGTGAACCACCAGCGGCTTAAAGCATCTACTAAAAAAAAAAAAACTGTCCGTGAAGAAGTGGTAGACTTGCCAGTCCCCAGCTGGAAGTCTAGAAAGGATATTGCGGAACCAAAGACCTATAAACAGACTGAGAAAAAAATTAACGAGGATGTGCAAACAGCTGAGCAGGCTCTCCAAACGAATTGTATTGATTCAGAAACCAATAGGAGGCTGGAGACAGTTCAGGAAATGCCAATAATTGTTGATGGGGAACAAATTCCGAATGGATATAATGTGCAGGAACAGACTGTCTCAGAAGAAGACACACCTGTAACATCAGACAGTACTACAGAAACTGATGCAGACAAACCACTGCATTCAGATACGGCACAGGACGTTGAGCAAAAAAGCCCTACCGTGGAAAATAGTGGTGACTCCAAACCAAATCAGCCCACTACATCTACATCATATGGGTCAGGTGGTACGCGGGTCTATAGCAGGCCGTTGCCTCCTAGTTACCTAGATGAACAGTACATTAGCATGCCAAAACGTAGAAAAGGTAGCCAGGATCAAATTGTTGAAAAAACTTCTGATTCTAAAACTCCAGTGGAGAAACTGAGATGCGGGAAGTGCCTAACGAACTACTGTAGCTCAGAAGCACTTGAAGAGCATCTAGCACAAAAGAAATGTCAGCTGTATTTTGGGTTTGACTCAGATGATGAAAGTAAGTAGCGGGAATGCACAAAATGATTTGGTATGGTTTCAAATGGAAGCCAGTATAAAATATCTTTGTCTTGCATTCATCGAAAGACGCAGCAGGATCCCTGGGAACCTGCTGTGTCCTTCAGTGAATGAGGGGGGAAAAAGCATTTTTTCGGTGAATACAAAAATTCTATTTTTGAGCAAGTCAAAACAAGAAGTCAAATTGTCACATGGAAAGATCCCTCTAGAAACTTGCAAGTATTAGACCCAGCAGTCTGTATGACAGGCAAAGTTCTGATACTTCTGGGTAGCGTCAGCGCCGTTACTGTCTCCCACAACCAGAGCCCCCCTTCGGCATTTTTGATGATGGGCTGCCTCATTGGGTGAAGGGGGAAAGTGACAGGCAAGTTCCTTCACTACTTGGAAATGCCGAAGCTTTTCCTGTATAGAAAGGCTTATAAGGGACATCACTGATCCATCATTTGACCTTCTTGTTTCTTGTCTGTACTTGAAGTGTATTGAAGCCACACCTTTTTAGGAGACCTCTCCCATGCTTCTAAACTCAATAGTGCTGCCATGGTAACATGCATATATAAAGAAGGTTATGATCAGATGGTTCTTTTGCATCTTTCCAAGAAAAAATAAACTAAGAAGCTTCATAATTGGTGGGGGAAACGGCATTCATATCCTTTTCTTTTGCAGAATTTGTTTCTCAAAGAATGATGTGCACTTTAAAAAAAAAAAAAAGTCTTTCTTTTGGGAACACAGCATTATACTGAGTTTGATTTTCCTGAAATAGAAAAAATGCAAGCCATGAAAAGTTTATATGAAATGTGTTTCCTGCCAACTCCACAAGTTGTTTTTTTCGTTTTGTTGTCTCTAAAACTTTTTTTTGCTGTTCAATTTAATTTTTCTTTAAATTAAATATGGGTTGCCAGATACAGTATGTGATATTTACATACATACATACATACATACATACATACATACACATATATACATACATACATACACATATATACATACATACATACACATATATACATACACATATATATATATATATACTCACCACTACCGGCTTTTTGGTATAGAATATGAGTACCGATATTTATCTTTCGGTACTCGCTGAAACCTAGTACCGGTACTTCCGCTAGCATGGATCCAGCTTGTCAGGCAGCGTGTAATTACGTGCTGTGTGGCCGTCTCCATGCGGATTGGCTGGGAAGCAGGCTTCCCAGCCAAACAGCGTGGAGCCGGCTTCCTGATTGGCCGAGTAAGCCCGTCTCCATGTTGCCTCGCGGCACTGGCGGTCAGAAGAAATCTCCCTCTGACCAGAAGTTCCGGTATCGGAGCATTTGGGCAAGTACGAGTACCCGGCCCAAATACTAGTTTCGGTGTGTGTGTATACGATACACACACACACACACACACACACACACACACACACACACACACAGTATATATACACAGTATATATATATTTTTTAACTTTAAAACAGGCCATCCTTAACCTCTAGCTGCTTGTTCTTTTAAGTAATTCTCAACGATCACAACAAAGATGGCCCAAGATGGCGCCGGTGTAGTCGGCTGCCGTCACGACTGCTCTGCCTTCTTGCAATCGTGTAAGCATTTCACTGCATATCATACTTGTACGATTATGTATGTGACAAATAAATAAATCTATCTATCTAAAGACCCCAAAGTTGGGTGTAGTCTGTCTTCTAACAGCTTAAAATCCTCTGATGGTTCTTTACATTAGAAGGCTGGCGGGCTGCAGAGATCTGCTCTTAGGGTCGCCATACATGTTACAATCTCCGCACAATCAACTTTAGATCAACCAAAATGATGTAATATGTGCAACTACCTAAACTATCCAGTCAATTTGTATCCAATCAGGTAGTCTCTTGCATTACATTATAGAAAAAAAAAGCATTGGCTTCATTGCCTATGTTGTGAAATTTTAAAATGAATTTCCACAATGCCTATAGCTACAGAGGAAAATGAGGGCTTATTTTAAAAGGCTTTTACTGCTTGTTTTGAAAAATGTAGATACTTTGATGCATTGACTGGGCACAAAGTCACTTTAAATCCTGTAAATGATATGATATGATTTGGTGCACACGTGGGTGACATTCCCTTGGTATAAACTGCGTTTGACATTTCTGTAGCTAGGGATGGGCAGGATGGAAATTGCTGATATCGTGTGACCAGGAAGTTTTGTCTTTACTGGATTGTCAGTCACTAACGTGCAATGCCTGTGCCAGGCATGTAATGTTAAATCTCAACTGAAAGCTGAGGGAACAATGTAGATTTTACTACGAAAATGCTATTTTTTATGGAAGGTCCACAATCTAATCTAATGCATATTCTTGAATAATGTTTTTAATGCAGTTTTTCAAATTGGCCTTTTACCTAAAAATTTTGTAGTTTGGGTCCTTTCACGTGTTACTGCATGCTTTTCCACATGAACTTTTAATACAGCTTTTATGTGCACAATACATTTAAACATGCGTTAATGCAGTTGATTTCTTATTGCATTTGCAAAATTACTGAGATTTGAGAATAAAGATTTGTTCATGGTAAACCTTTAATAAAAATTAATGAATGATGCATTTGTCTACTATTCATTTTAAGTGGGCCTACTTTGAGAGAACTTGTTTATTGTTCATTATAGGACACAGGATTCAATTATTCAAAAATAATTGGGTTATACTGCCACCTACTGGCCCCTCCCACTCGTAGCATGCTTCAAGTTTTTTTTTTGTTTTTTTTTGCTAGTGTCCTAAGATTGATATATTTTTCTTTAAAAAAAATCACTATTGTTACCAACCATTTTCTCTTTGTTGACATTTCTTTCTTCAGTCAAGACTCCATCTACATACTGCTAAGCTGGGCTTTTGCTGCGGCTATGTAGATCAGCGTATCCTCAGCAATAGCTTAAGAGGCTGTACCCAGACCCTGCTTGGTCTGAGACCTACCTGAAATGTGACCTTGAGGCACTGGGTTCTGTTGTGACACTTTACAGACCTGTGTCCACTGTTAGCAGTGGAGCACTTTCTAGGTCCAGAACTAAGGAACAACTTCTGATGTCTCTGGGTATGCTTTGTGGGCCAAGCATATTTATGGACAGTTGAGCACCATTACTACCCCCTTTTTTCAGTTAGTTTCCACGGAGAGGGATTAAAGGCTGCACCACTAGCTGGAGTGTCACACACACACACACACACACACTCTGTTCTTGCCTTTTTAGAGTAAGATAGCTTCTTCCTCTTATTCACTAGAGACATGTTGTTCCACCTCAGTTAGTTCCTCGTCCCTGTCTGGATATAGTTAATTTTAGATCAGTTAGTAGATCATTATACAAGCTCATAATCTCAAGGACACGATCTACCCTTTCCTGGTCAAGCACACTCTACTGGGCCAGTGAGTGCTTCCTGAGCTTTTTGACATCGGGCATCTGCTTCTCAGATTTTCAAGGCTCCCATCTGGTCTTCTGTTCTTACTGTCTCTAAGTTTTACCAGGTGGATGTTCTAGTGGTTGTTGGGACTTCCCCGCTACCTTCCATTTGGCTGTTAACTTGCTGCTCCACAGGGTTGTGAGTGCATCTTGTGGGAATACAGCTTGCTTGCACACTGATGGTGGATCAAAAGCACACAGCCTTCATACAATCCACCCACAGTATAGAAGGGGGCATGCAGTGCATCTGATGAGTGCACAGCCTAATGACTGTGTGGAATTGGGTTCAGTATATTATCTACTCCCTTTCCTTCTCTAAAGCTCCTTTATCTGGCTTAGTGGAGCCCCGGTTCCTGAAGCATAGGTGTGTATCTGCTTCGGTTATCCCTACAATTTTATGGGCTCGAAATTCAACTTCTCGTAAGGTCTTCCACTTGGAAGGTGTATTTCTCATGGTATGAGGCAAGGCAATGCCACCCCGGTAATCCTGTCTATTCTCCAGTCCTGTCTATTCTCTAATTGGGTCTAGATCAACAGTTGGCCTTGGACACCATCAAGGGTCAATCCTCGGACCTGGTGACTTATTTTTCAAAGATCGCTAGATTCTTGCTCCTAAGTGAAAACTTTTGTACTTTGTGTTGCTCTAATTGCTCCACCTGTCCATTCTCCTGTGTCACCGTGGAATCTCAACCAGGTTCTGTTGGCTCTCCTTTACCTGAAAGGAAGCCTTCTTTGTACTGCATAGGGACAGGGTTGTTTTTAATGAAAACCACTTTTTCTTACTAAGCTGTTTTTTCCCTTAACCAGTACATTGCCCTGTCTTCTCATTGTCCTTCTCCTTGCCATCGTAAGAACATATCTCCACTGTCTGGATGTGATGCATGCTGTGCAAGTTTATGTCTCCGCTACGGCTTCAACTAGACAAACTGACTCACTTTTTGTCATTGTTGAAGGCCCCGTCAGGGTTCCACTCATCTTGATCTACCATCTCTGGGTGTATTAGACAATCATTGGAGCTTAAGGGCAAGGTTCCACCTTTTCACTGTTAATATACTAGATTTGTTAGTGCTTCTTGGGCTTTCCAGCCTCAGCCATCTGCTTCTCAAATATGCAAGGCTGCCACCTGGACCTCTGCTCATTTTTGTCATGTTTTGAGAGGTAGTTGTTCGGGTCTCATCTGATGTCAGCTTTATTCATAAGGTCCTTCAGTCGGCACTATGAGTTCTTTTGAGCACCTTCTGTTAACCTGTTGCTATGTGGGCCTGTTTTTCTTGTGATCCACTCCTAGTCTTGCAACAAAAACTGAGGCCTGCTAAGAGTGGGCGATGTTATGCAGGTCTGTCCTTTTTACTTTTAACAGCTTTTCTTTACTAGTACTGTATCCAATCTCCTGCAGGGGGCAGCATAACCATATGTTTCTGAACAGTATTCTGTGTCCTGTAATGTACTTAAAAATAATTTTACAGGTAAGACAAAAATCCTATTTTGCAGGGTAAAGCAACGGCTTCACTTTACTGACCCCCCCCCC